TGGGAAATGCTTCGCTTAAGTTAATTAATAGATAACAAAATGTTTTTTTTTTGGTTGATTAATAAAGTAAAGAAAAAATGCTTCCTTTAATCAGTCAGACAAGAATAACCTAAAACATTTCGTTCCTGACCAAAATAACAAAAGAAATTATTGGATTATGAAAAACGTTTTCCGTTCTACTAACATTTTATATATATGCATATCGAGCTTGAGATAGTGTATTTTATATATACCACAATAATATGTACATGTTGCATATTATCGCTTTTGCCGTATAATAAATGTGGGAAATGCTTCGCTTTTGCCGGATAAACTACAAAGAAAGTACCACGCTTAAGCTAATTAACAGATAACAGAGAATATTTTTCTTTTTGGGCGATTAATAAAGCAAAGAAAAAATGTACTTTTTTTCTTTACGGAATGAATTTTTACAGATTTTTCTTAAAACTTTTTCTATTTCTAATTATGCATAGTGATATATAATTGATTAGAGCAATACGCGACAAACTGTTATCAGTGGAGATGTTTGGTAAAGTTGATGCCTTTATCACATTGCACACATACAGCCAAATGTGGATTCATCCATACAGTCATCAACGTCATGTATTTCCCAATGATATTAACGATCTTGTAAGAATTCATTCCTGATAAATTAATTAAATGTGAAAATTTAAGCAATTTTATCTTATAGCAATAAATAGAACAGTTAACAATATTGAATTATTTGTAAAATAATAAATAAAAAAGAAAAAAGGAGGAGAAAATTTTGGAAACAGAGTTTTTTTTTATTTCTTTTAATTAAAAATAGCAAATCTTTGTCCACTTTTTTGATAAAGTAAAAATTTTAAAAAGAAGAGAATATATCAAGTCGAAATTCAAGATTTTTCGAAAAAAATTAAAAATAATCTATCAATTTCTTTAAATTTTACAAAATTTGTTATTCCTTTTAATTTCCTTTACTCTCTCTCTCTCTCTCTCTTTCTATTGAAATAAGCAAAATCAGGTTGGAAAGACGGAATAAAAAATAAATAAAATTTCTTCATAAGAATTATTACGTATAGGAAGAAGTTGGAAGAAGAGCGGTGAAAGCACTCGAAAATGTTTACGGAACAAAATTTCGATTTGGTACAGGCGCTGACATATTATGTATGCCTTTTGCGCCATCCTCAAATCTTCTTACTTTTTATTCTTTTAAAATAAATCAATTCTAATAAATTTTAATTTAATTTAGCGTATTTTTTATTATACGCTTATGGAAAATTTCTATTTTATTTGTAAATTATTAGGTAACAATTAATGATCTTTTTTTATCAATTTAAAAGTTGCGCTTTTAGATCCTTCATCAGGTGGCTCGGATGATTGGGCTAAATCAAAAGCTGGAGTGAAATTTGTATATCTACTTGAGCTAAGGCCAGGTGAAAACGGTTAGTCAGTTAATTTTTTTTTTTTTAATGATAAATTGCTGTTGTGAAAAACATACTTTGGTTCGGAAAAGCAGATTGGTGTTCCATAATTGAAAATAGTTATAATTGAAAAAGATTTATTCGAATGAAGATTGCAAATACTGACAGTTCACAATGTCCGAAAATGAATACTCCGATTTCTGATCATTGATTGGTAGGGATTTAATCGAGTTCTAAGTCAATTGATCCGTATATATCTACACATAGTGTCCAACGTAATATATATATATATTTATATATCCAAGGTGGTACAAGGATGGTCATTCAGGTATATAATAAGTCAATATAAATTACGCAGAGATACGTGTTGTAAGTCACAAAAGATCATGCACACTTACGTGAAATAATCCCATCTGTCGTGAAAGTTTTTGTCGAGTAGGGAGAGTTGATAACTGTATGGCAACAATTAAAATTCAAGTGTTTATTAGTTTGCTGCATGGTAAGCAAAATGTAATACCAATTTGAGAGACCGCACCACCGATAATTATCTCTCTCGGGAGGAACATACCTCGATACCATCTCCTACTGACGAACATGAACATAATATATAATGTATGGTGGACGGGACTAAAACAGTCCTTAGATATATAAAATCGATGGATATCCCTCATTGGGGTGATTAGTACATGATGGATATACAATCGATAATGTCACGGTAGCATAAAGCCAAAAAAGCATAAAGCATAAAGTATAAAGCCAAAAAAGACTAAGCAAAGAGGATGGAGAGCATTCATTTGTAGCCGTATTCTTTATTACGTGTGAAAGAGAGGAAAGATCATAAACTGCAGGAAATGTTGGGTAGACAGCGTTGAATGGCATATCACTATAAAGCAAAACAATGTTATATAACAAAAATTGAAACGACTACAAATTGTACTGATAAATTTCCTCTTATCTAAAATATCAATTATACAAATCCCTATTTATAAACGAGAATTTATATCACTAAACTTTGAGTT